TGCTGGGAATCTGAAACCATCAGATCTATAGCACAGAGAAAGGCCTTTCAGCCCATCAAGTCTATGCCAGTCAAGAACAACCTATTTTAATTCCTTTTTCTAGCATGTGGCCTGTAGACTTGCTATGCCTTGGCATCACAAGTGCATATGCAAAGTGCTGGAGAAACTCAGCAGGCCTGTGGAAAGAGAAAGTCCACATTGTGTTCAGTATGACTTTTTCAGAACTCGTTATTGGGGGTGGCATTGTATAAAAATAAGCAGTTACACAAGACATGTGGAAACATTTTCTCCCTAAAAGGCAGAGGTAGAGAGATTCCAGATGATCAAGGCAGGTAGAGTGCAGGTTTGAAATCAGATTAGCCGTGATCTAATTGAATAGTGGAGCAGACTCAAAAGGACAGAGTTGCTTACTCCTGTTTGTAGGTAATGAAAGGTACTGTATTAGTGCAAGGCCATTTTTCACCTTCAGAAGATCCAGTTGTACTTTTTTTTTAAGTTTGTAAAATTATCATTATTTAAAGCTATACTTAGAGCTTGCCCCAATTCACAATAGAAACACTTTTGCTGTAGCTACTGCCACTCTTCATTATGAATCTACCTACTTAGATGAACTTCAAAACTTGTACAGTGAATCTGGGGAATAATCAGAGGTATGATTAAATAGTTCCTTTTAAAATAACAAGAAATCTGAAAACATCTGAGTTCGGTCAAGGATGTCACCAGTAAAAACCGAAAGAGCTGCGGATGCTGTAAATCAGGAACAAAAAAAGTTGCTGGAAAAGCTCAGCAGGTCTGGCAGCATTATTGAAGGAAAAAACAGAGTTAACGTTTCAGGTCTGGTGACCCTTCCTCAGAACCAGATCCGAAATGTTAACTTTGTTTTTTTCCTTCACAGATGCTGCCAGACCTGCTGAGTCAAGGATGTTGCTAGTGTCTACTTGAAAAAAAGCTCAAAACTTCAAAAGGCTACTTCTGTCCTATATAAAACATGGTGAAAAACATTCCTTAGTACTATTAGCAGTGATAAGAGGGATAAGCACAGTTCATAAAAATTGATCTTGGAGGAAGGCTGGGTGGTTGGTCTTTGGTTGCAGTAGGACTAGACAGATTGGTTAGACAGGCGGATCAACCTTGACAAGTGTGAGGTGATGCACTTTGGAAGTAGTAACAAGACAATGGAATGCTCGAACAGAGCGGACACCAGGAAGCTCAGAGAGAAAAAATGTTGTGGTCCTTGTCCACAGAGTCCTGAAGGCGGTAGGACAGGTAAATATTGATACTTGACTTCATCACTTGGGGCATAGATTATAAAGGGCAGGAAGATTATGTTGGAGCTGCACAGATATATTGGTTAGGCCACAGCTGTAGCACCGTGCACAATTCTGGTTGCCCCACCAAAGGAAGGATGCGATTACACTAGAGGACATGCAGAGGAGATTCACCAAGATCTTGCCTTGGATGGAGCATTTCAGCTTTCAAGAGTCTGGAAAAGCTCATGTTTTCTTTGGAGCAGAGAAAGTTGAGTGAGGACCTCATAGGGACGTGTAAAGTTTTGAAGGGCATGGACAGGGTGGATAGAAAGCAACTTAAAAGGGGTTGTGATGAGTGAGCACAATTTTAAAGTGAAATACAGGAGGTTCAAAGAAATTGCTCTCACCCAGGGGATGGTGTGGGTCTGGAATGTTGAGGCAGAAAACCTCACAATCTTTTAAAAGGTGCCTGGATGAGCACTTGGAATGTCACAACAGTCAAGACTATGGGCCAAGTGCGGGACCAGTGTAGATTTCGAACATAGAACAATACAGGCCCTTCGGCCCACGATGTTGTGCCAAACTTTTACCCTAATCCTAAGGTCTATCTAACCTCCACCCCTACCTTACACTATCATCCATATGCCTATCTAATAGCCGCTTAAATGCCCCGAATGAGGCCGACTCCACTACCCTCTCCGGCAATGCATTCCACACCCCGACCACTGAGTAAAGAACCTACCTCTGACGTCTCCCCTATATCTACCTCCACTCACTTTAAAACTATGCCCCCTTGTAATAGCTACCTCCACCCTAGGAAAAAGTCTCTGGCTGTCCACTCTGATCATTTTGTACACCTCTATCAAGTCACCTCTCATCCTTTGTCGTTCTAAAGAGAAAAGCCCCTAGCTCTCTCAATCTTTCCTCGTAAGACCTTCCCTCCATTCCAGGCAACATCCTGGTAAATCTCCTCTGCACCTTTTCCAATGCTTCCACATCTCTCCTATAATGAGGCGACCAGAACTGGACACAATACTCCAGATGTGGCCGAACCAGGCTTTTGTATAGCTGGAGCATAACTTCACGGCTCTTGAGCTCAATTCCTCTATTAATGAAAGCTAACACACCATATGCCTTCTTAACAACTCTATCCACCTGGGTGGCAGCTTTCAGGGAACTGTGGACATGAACCCCCCCAGATCCCTCTGCTCCTCCACACTGCCAAGAATCTTTGTTAACCCATCCGCCACTTCTCAGCCCAGCTCTGCTTCCTATCAATGTCCCTTTGTAACCTAGAGCAGCCCTCCGCACTATCCACAACTCGACCCACCTGCGTATTATCCGCAAACTTACTAATCCACCCTTCATCCAAATCATTTACAAAAATCACAAATAGAAGAGGACCCAGAACAGATCCTGGTGGTACAACACTCGTAACTGAGCACCATGTTGAATATTTTCCGTCCATTACCACCCTTTGTCTTCTAAGGGTCAGCCAATTCTGAATCCATTCTGCCACATTTCCCCCTATCCCATGCCTCATTACGTTCTGCATGAGTCTACCATGGGGAACCTTATCAAACGCCTTACTTAAATCCATGTATACCACATCCACTGCTCTACCTGCATCCATGTGTTTTGTCACCTCTTCAAAGAATTCAATAAGGTTTGTGAGGCATGATCTACCCCTCACAAATCCATGCTATCACAAATCAAACTGTGCCTATCTAAGTGATCATAAATCCTATCTCACAGAGCCCTTTCCAATAATTTGCCCACCACTGATGCAAGACTAACTGGCCTGTAATTTTCGGGGTTATCCCGGTTCCCTTTTTTGAACAAAGGAATGACGTTTGCCCTCTCCAATCTTCCAGCACTACACCCGTGGACAGTGAGGATGAAAAGATCATCGCCAAAGGCCCTGCAATCACTTCCCATAGAATCCGTGGATAAATCCCATCAGGCCCGGGTGACTTATCTATCTTCAAGTTCCTCAAAATTCCTAGTACATCTTCCTTACTAACATCGACCTCCTCTAGCCTACCAGCCTGTTTCACACTGTCCTCCTCTACAACTAGGTCCCTCTCATTTGTGAATACCGGAAAAAAGTATTCATTAAGGACCCCTGTCTTTAGGCTCCGTGCACAAATTCCCTTCACAATCCTTGATCCACCCTACCCTTTCCTCTGGTCATTCTCTTATTCTTCATGTATGTGTAAAAAGCCTTGGAGTTTTCCTTGATCTTATCTGCCAAGGTTTTCTCATGCTCCCTTATAGCTCTCCTAAGCCTTTTCTTCAGCTCCTTCCTGGCTAACTTGTATACCTCTAGAGCCTTTTCCAGTCCTTCTTCCTCTTAACCAGTCGTTCGACCTCTCGAGAACCAAGGCTCCCTCACTCGACCACATCTTCCCTGCCTGCTAGGGACAAACAAACATCAAGCACACACAGCATGCATTCCTTAAACAATTTCCACATTTCAATAGTGCTCTTCCCTGACAGCATCTGTTCCCATTTTACATTACCCAGTTCTTGCCTAACAATTGTAATTCCCCTTCCCCTAATTATAAACCTGACCCTGCTGCATGTACCTATCCTTTTCCACGACTATTGTAAAAGTAAGAGTTATGATCACTACTGCCAAAATACGCTACTGCCAAAATACTCTCCAACAGGTCTAACACTTGGCCCGGTTCGTTGCCAAGCACCAAATCCAAAGTGGCCTCTCCTCCTGTTGGTCTATCTACATACTGTGTCAGGAATCCTTCCTGAACACACTGGACAAAATCCACTCCATCTAAACTATTAGAACTAAAAAGTTTCCAAATCAATATTTGGAAAGTTGAAGTCACCCATGACTACAACCCTGTGACCTCTGCACCTTTCCAGTATCTGCCTCCCAATCCGCTCCTCCACTTCTCTGCAACTATTAGGGGGTCTGTAAAAAACCCCCAACTAAGTGACTGCTCCTTTCTTGTTCCTGACCTCAACCCAAACTGCCTCTGTAGACGTATCATTCTCGAACTGCCTTTCAGTAGCTACTATACTAGCCCTGACTAGCAATGCCACTCCCTGATGTAGCTTGAGACCAGGGAGGGGTTGAACATTAACAAGATTTTCTGTTCTATTTAACATCTTAAAATTCCAAGATACATGTGCTGAGAACAGCAACATTTTGTAGGCTTTGTTCAAGAGTTCCAACAGAGCTTCAAAGCTAACCCTTCAATGCTAACCCTTCAATGCACAAAAAGGCATCTGGGCTACACCTCAAAAAACAGAATATGAAAAACCACAACCTGGAGACAATAAGACTATTCAGGTTGACATCCCAATGCAGCCTTATCCTTTGGAGGAAGCATTAAGCAGAGCATGATGTCCTGGGCAATATTCCACCTTGAGCATCTGATGGTTTATCATTGCTGTCTATGGAACTTTACAGTTCACATATGGACTGAAATCATTCAACTGTGTAACACTGAGATAATGAAGAGGTGGTAAATGAGTGTAAATTATTTATTTGTGAAGGAGACAGAAAAATAAGCCATATAAAATGACCACAATTGTATTATCAAATATTTTAATCACATCTGCAATATAAAACACTTACAAAATACAACCCATTGTTTCAAGTATTAACCAAGTAGAGACTGGAGGATGCTTCATTTACATAATGCACTATGGACCCATACCCTATTATACAGTTTGATCAGCACCACCATGTTCAGTTGGAGCCCAGATTCATTGCAATGAGGGTGTGCAACAAATATCCTCTAATTCAACATCTAGCTGTTTTTTTTTTTTTTTTAAAAATAAAAAGTATTTTCATATTGGAATTTTGCCCTTTGTTTCAGCGGAAATTAAAGCCGACTCCACAATGCATCAATGTGTAATCTGTAAAACGGTCTCCCTTTCCCCATCCATGCAACCTTAGGGGTTGTGTTAAGGCTAGGTTACTGGAAGGAAGGAAAAAGGAAAATGGTTTAATTTTTGATCTCTGTCCACCCAACGAGTTAATAATGGATAAATAGGCTATAAATGAATGACTTATTCCATCAGTTCTGTGGACACAGGAATCTTTAGTTGGGGAAATTGCATGCTTAATTTAATTCAGCCAAGATGAGCTCAATTACAATGCTTCTGGTTATAAATATTTAATTGCAGTCATATGGCAGTAGTCTCCCAGGATACAATCCATTAGCACTAAAAGTGAATACTGTGGAACAAAGTTGATTTGCTTTAAGAAAATAACTAACCTTCTCAAAAATAAATGTTGTAGTAAACAATTCAATTTCTATAATCAGAAATTTTGTTCTAGAATTCATTGAGGTATTTAAATGTGCAGTACACTGTGCAAGTCTGAAACATTTTTCTGCTACAAAACCATTCTACAGCTCTGAAGTGTTTAGATATTAACAACTCCTGGAACAGTGGGTGATGTGAATCCTTAAAAGGACCAACGTTTCCTCATTTTCCCAGGATATAATCAGTACTTTTTTTTAAAACAATAGCATCCCATGACAAGGTGCAGATAAACTGAAGAGGGGACCATTTGTACAAGTTCCACGTGTCCTGTCACCACAACTTCAAAAAAACTAACTGAAATTCAAAAATGGGATCAGTGCAGGGTTTGTACCCATTTAGCAGCCAATTGCATAGTTCACAGTAATCTCAAGTTACAAGGTAAGATTCAGTCAATCCTTTAAACCACACGAATGGATTCCGGCATGTTAAAGATTGTAAATAAAGTTCTTGTAACAGCATTAAGTGATTTAAGAAAGCCCACCATTTGAATTCTTGATGTCAGAAACAATCTGGCAGATCAGCTCAAACAATCCTGACTCGTGGCAGGATTTAAAGAGATATACCCTGGTCGCATACAAGATAAAGCCATGTCCCTCACTGGCTAGAGGAGTAATGGGGTTTGTTCTCCTGCAGGCTGCTGTTTTGTGAAGAGATGCTTGACATCAGTCAGTGCACTCTTCATCCGATCCCTGATGGGTGGGATGTGGTGGCTGGGGTCCAAGACATTAGTTTGACGACGTTCTCGATCTCGTTTCCAGGTTTTGTACGGATGAGGGGGGAATCTGGGTTGCTCCTTCTCATGGCAGAACTGGAACACTATTCCACTTACCAGCAAGACCACCCACACTGATATTAAAACATAGTCTGCAATTAGAAAATAAAAGATATTCACAGTACAAATCAAGCAGAAATATGCAAGAGGCCAGTCAGCCCATCTGGCCTACACTGACTTTTTGAAAAATATCCAATTAATCCCACTTTCTTCAAAGCCCTACAAATTTTAGTTCCTTCAAGTAAAGCTCCAATTATCTTTGGAAGGTACGACTGATATTACAAGGAAGGACATCTTCATCATGTGGTCTGGCCTACATGTGACTCCAGATCAACAGCAATGTGGTTGAATCTTGACTGCCCTGTGGGGCCTAGTCAGTGGCACACATAGCCCATGAACAAGTTAACAACACCATCTCAGACACTGCATTCCAGATCATAACCAAAATGTCTCATCTCACCTGTGACTGTTTTTAAAAAGTCTCTTTCCAATGTAGAATTCTGTAGTCACTATGACCCCAATGCAGTTAGAAATGAATTCCTTGCAGTAGCTATTTGCAGAAGGCATATAGTCTTTTAAATAAACTAGGGACAGACAATAATTACCATCCCACGAGTGGATGAAAAAAAAATCTCAATTTACCAGGGAGTCTGAACATTAGATGGCATCAAAAAAAAAGCAGCAAACCAAGCATTTCTCATATACAGTTGAGGCCATTTAGCCATCGCCCAATGCTACTCTCCCAAACATTTGCTTCATTCTCCTGCCTTTAAACTTCCTGTTCAACAGCAAAATCTCAAATTCTGATTCTCTTCTACATGGCTCTGGTATCTCTCCTGGAGAGACAGAGAGACTTCAACATTGGACTGCAACCCAACCAACTTCACTTAGCCAGCTCCCTGCCTTCCTATAGATTCCATAAGACCATAAGATTCCATAAGGATACAGGAGCAGAATTAGGCCATTCAACCCATCGCTTTCTCCACCATTCAATCGTGGTTGACATGTTTCTCAGCCCCATCCTCTTGTCCTTCTCCCCATAGCCCTCAATCTCCTTACTAATCAAGAACATATCTATCTTAAACACACAATGACTTGGCCTCCACAGCCCTCTACAGCAATGAGTCCCAGAGTCACCATCCTCTGGCTGAAGAAATTCTCATCAGTTCTAAAGGGTCATCCCTTCACAGGCTTTGCCATCAGGTCCTAGTCTCTCCATCTAGTGGAAACATCTTCATGTCCACTCTACCCAGGACTCAGTATTCTGTAAGTTTCAATCAAATTCCACCCCTCCCCACCCATCTTTCTTAACTCAAAGGAGTACAGAACCAGAGTCCTCAACCGTTCCTCATATGACAAACCCTTCATCCCCAGGATCATTCTTGTAAACTTCCTCTAGACCTCCTGATGCCAGGACATCCTTCCTTAGATATGGGGCCCAAACTGCTCATAATATTCCAGATGCAGTCTGACCAGAGCCTTATACAGCCTCAGCAGTACATCCCTGCTCTTGTATTCTAGCCCTCTTGAAATGAATGCTAACATCACATTTGCCTTCCTAACCACCAACTGAACCTCCACGTTAACATTAAGAGAATCCTGAACTAGGACTCCCAAGTCCCTTTTGTATTTCACATTTCCAAAGCCTTTCCCCATTTAGAAAAAAATCTATGCCTCTAAACTTCCTACCAAAGTGCATAACCTCTCACTTTCCCACATGGTATTCCATCTGCCACTTCTTTGCCCTCACTCTCCTGGCCTACGAGTCCTTTTGCAGCCTCCCCACTTCCTCAACACTACCTGTCCCGCCACCTATCTTTGTGTCATCTGCAAACTTAGCCACAATGCCCTGTTTTTGCCCAGATCATTAATGTGTAACGTGAAGAGTTTTGGTCCCTACACTGACCCTTGCAGAACTCTAGTCACCAGCTGCCATCCTGTGTAAAGCCTCTTTATCCCCACTCTCTACCTGTGCCAGTCAGACAATCCTCCATGCCAGTATCTTGCCCTTAACACCATGAGCTCCTATCTTATTTAGCAGCTTCCTGGTTGGCACCTTGTCAAAGGTCTTCTGGAAATCCAAATAGATCACATCCACAGGTTCTCCTTTCTTTTGCTTGTTACGTCTTCAAAGAATTGTAACAGATTTATCAGGCATTACCTCCCCTTGATGAAGGTATTGACTCTGCTTTTATTTTACTTCGCATTTCCAAGTAATCTGTAATCTCATCCTCATCAATGGACTCTAAAATCTTAACAACCGAAGTCGAGCTAAGTAGGCTATAGTTTTGTCTTCTGCCTCCCTCCCTTCTTAAACCAGGGGTGTATTACCAGGGTCTCCGAACGGATTGAAACACCGAACCATCAAGAGACAGCCAATCACCCATCAATTCTTAGGTTCCATCAGAAAGTGACTTTTTCCCCCGATTTAAAAAAAAAAGATTGTCTAAAATGTGGATCTCATGATGTCACAAACTCCACTCTTTCAGCCTTACCGTTCATTTGGAAGGGGACATTTACAAAGGCAGCCTTGAACTCGCCATGAAGCGCACGCTTGACAATGTTTAATGTGATGTAGGCCAGGCTGGTGAACACAAAATTGTGGATAGCTAGTATCACTGCATAAGAGCCAACAAATCCACAGGCCAGAATGTTCAGCTTAAAAAACAAAGGACAAAAACAATAGTAAACACCAAAAATGTGAAAAACATTTTATTTTCTGAAACAGGAAAACAAAATTCCTACCAAAGTGCTCTGACAATATGTAGGTTTCAATTTTAGAAAGATCGAATGGAACCCCTCATTGGTAATTTGAGCCACGTCTGATGATTATTGTGCAGATCTGTAATTCCCAAAACTCTGCAGCGTTGGGAATTTCCCGACTGATCTGTTGTGGACTTTGCCACACAAAAACATTTTGTCAAGATTTAATATTTCAGAATAACTATTTTATCAAGGCACAAAGACCAGGAGAACGTTTCCTTGCATCTTACGGCCTTGTCAGCAGGCCAGAGGTGAAGGGAGATGGCAGTGTAATCTCATGGACGACTAACCCAGAGACACCGGCTTCAACCCCAGGATCAAAGGTTCAAATCTCAAGTGCTGCTGATGGAATTTAAATTCCACCTTGAAATAAAAAGCAACACATCATCCTCCAACACTCCCGCCATCTGCAATCTGACCCCGCTAAAGACATTTTTCCCTCCCCACCCTTATCTGCTTTCCGGAGGGACCACTCTCCGTGACTCCCTTGTCCGCTCCACACTCCCCTCCAGCCCCACCACACCCGGCACTTTTCCCTGGAACTGCAGGAAATGCTACACCTGCCTCTACACCTCCCCCCTCACCCCCATCCCAGGCCCCAAGAAGACTTTCCACATCAAGCAGATGTTCACCTGCACGTCTGCTAATGTGGTATATTGTATCCGCTGTTCCAGATGTGGCCCCCTCTACATCGGGGAAACCAAGCGGAGGCTTGGAGACCGCTTTGTGGAACTCCGTTCACGACAAACTACTGCACCTCCCAGTCGCAAACCACGTCAACACCCCCTCCCACTCCTCAGACAACATGTCCATCCTGGGCCTCCTGCAGTGCCACAACGATGCCACCCGAAGGTTGCAGGAACAGCACCTCATTTCACTTGGGAACCCTGCAGCCCAATGGTATCAACGTGGACTTCACAAGCTTCAAAATCTCCCCAGCCCCGACCGCATCCCAAAACCAGCCCAGCTCGTCCCCGCCTCCCTAACCTGTCCGTCCTTCCTCCCACCTATTCCCTCCTCCCACCTCAAGCCGCACCCCCACTTCCTACCTACCAGCCTCATCCCACCTCCTTGACCTGTCCGTCCTCCCTAGACTGACCTATCCCCTCCCTAACTCCCCACCTACACTCACCTTCACTGGCTCCATCCCTGCCTCTTTGACCGGTCTGTCTCCTCTCCACCTATCTTCTCCTCTATCCATCTTCCATCTGCCTCCCCCTCTCTCCCTATTTATTTCAGAAACTCATTCCCCTCCCCCATTTCTGAAGCAGGGTCTAGGCCCGAAACATCATCCTTCCTGCTTGGCCTGCTGCGTTCATCCAGCTCTACACCATGTTATCTTTGAAATAAAGGCTACTCTCAGCAACCATGAAATTATCACCAATTTGTCAATACCCATCTGTATCGTTAATATCTTTTGCTGCTCTGGTCTACAGAACCACAGCAGTGCAGTCTCACTTGGACTCTTCGGCAGATAGTTGAGACACTCCGTTCGAGGGCAGATAGGGTTGAGCAACAAAAGCTGGTCTTGCTACTGACACCCACGTCCTAAAGACTTAGAGAAGGAACAGTGTCTCCATAGTCTGTAATTGATGAGCTTAAACGATATGCTTGGTCCTCCCACAGGGTTTGCGCTGATTTGTGTCTGACTACTCAAATGGAAGTTCCATCTTCCTAGATTTCCTGGTCATTGTTTTCCTTTCAGTGAGGTGGTAAAAAGCAGCTTAGGCAACATCAAATCAATACAGGCATCAAATTCACTGGCTGGTATAAGAGAGGAACTCACTGGTCTTGGACAGCTGAAGAATATCAGTGGAACAAGTAATGCTACACTTATGAAGGTCACCCAGAAGACAGCATCATCATTGAAAACTTTAACATTTGCTGGAAGACAGAACAAAAATATTAAAATGTCAAACTCCAAGAACAATTCCATGATTTTTAATAAATTAACAATAATGTTGAAACTCAGTTTTGCAAAGAAATCCTTACCGGAGAAATACAAATTAAACTTTCCAACTAAGCAGCACCTAGCTTAGCAATAAGCTATGCACTGACACTCAGTCGGGGTTCTGCCAGGGCCACTCAGCTCCTGGTTAATCATTGTAACCTTGGCCAAGTAGCTGAACTCCAGACACGAAGAGTGTAACTGGCCCCGACATCAAGGCCATCGGTGACTGATAGTGGCCTCGAGGAGCCTGAGCAAAACTGGAATCAAATGGGAATTGTTCTTTGGAGTCATACCCAACCCCAAGGAAGGTGGCCATGCTTGTTCGAGGTCAGTCACCTCAGCTCTAGGAAGTCTCTGCAGGAGTCTCAGAGTATTGCCCTCCATCCAACCATCGTTGTTTCTTTTACAAAAGAACCCTAGGCCTCCTGGATCAGAGAGGAGGACAGTGCCACTGCACCATGAGAACTCTCTGAAGGTAAAATTGCCATATTCCCAGACCAGAGAACTGCTCTCTCAGAGGGCAAGGGCAGAGGTGGGGAAGGACAGTACTTCATGGTCAGCTCAGCTGGTGTGGGGAATGAACCCACACTATTGGCATCACAAACCAGCCAGCCAACTAAGCTACCTGATTCCCTGGGCCCCAACCATCTTCAGCTGCTTCAGCAGTGACCTTCCCTCCATCCTGAGGTCAGAAATCAGATGGTCACTGATGACTGCACAATGTTCAGCACCATTCCTGACTCCTGAGATACTGAAGCAGTCTGTGTTCAAATGCAACGAGATGTGGACAATATCCAGGTTGGACTGATATGTGGCAAGTAACACTCATATCATGGATATGAGGCATCGATCATCTCTAAACGAGAGAATCTGGCCATCACACCCGACATTGAGCAGCATTGCCAACACTGGCTGCCCCACCCCCCACCACCACCTTCCCAAATCAATACCCTGGGGATTACCATTGACTAGCAAGAAAACTGGACCAGCCAACCAGGCAAAGCAGGGGCTCATGAGGCAGTGGGTATATTCCTCCCTCTGAGCTAGGAGGCCAGAGTTCAAGTCCCACATCTGTGTCATAATGGTAGAAACATCTAGATGAGGCAGTGAGTACTGGGAACGTCACTGGGCTACTAATCTAGAACCCCTGGCTGATGTTCTGAGAAAATGGGTTCAAATCCCATCATGGCAGACAGTGAAGTGTGAACTGAGTAAAAATTTGGAATAACAGCAACCAAGTAACCATTGTCATAAAACCCATCTGGTTCAATGTCCTTTAGGGAAGGAAACTGCCATCCTTACCTGGTCTGGCCTACATGTGACTCCAGACCCACAGCAATGTGGTTTACTCAACTGCCCTCTGGGGCAATTAGGGATGGGCGATAAAGGATCACCCACCCAGCAACACCAACATCCTATGAATGCATACTTTTTAAAAAGTGGTGTCTTCACACTTGAAAATACTAGTCAAGATATAGAATGATACAATAGCAGGGGTTTTTTTCCCATTCGTTCACGAGGTGCAGGCATCACTGGTCAGGCCAATATTTAAAGTTCAGTCTTTTGTAGACTAGTTACTAACTTGCTCTACAATTACTTACCCAATGGTGTGAAGAAAATCAAAGACGACAGCAGAAATCCCAGGAGCAGGCCAGCAACCAGCACACAAAATGCAACAGAGCCAGACCTCCACCAACACATCACCAGCAGACTCCCACCAACAGATCCCAGGACTACCACCAGCCCCAAAATAACTGAGGAAACAAAAACAGATAGGGTCCTCAATGGAGATTGCGCAGCAAATTCAAATACAGGTACAATTCTGCTTGGTTAACAGAAAATAAAACAGGCTTGGATTACAAACTCTAGATCTAACTAACTTTCTTTTGGGTCAGTCGAAAATAGGTTGTATTCAGGAGCCCACATCCAAATCAATTCCAGACTGATGCACAAAAGTTTCTTTTACAAGAAACAATTCTGCAAATTATAACACGCCCTTTATATAAAAGGCCAGAATGAAACAGGCAAACTCAAGTGGAAGCTAGGGAACATGGGGAAATAAATAGTGACATCTTGCAGAGTCTACATCACAGAAGTGGTGCTGGAAGTCTAAAAATTATTAAAAAGGTAGACAAATCTACAGGACCTGAAGAAGTGTATCTGAAGATGTTGTGGGAAGCTAGGGAAGAAATTGCAGGGCTCCTAGCAAAGATAGTTGTATCTACAGCCAGAGGTGAGGTACCAAAAGGAGGGTGGCTAATGTTTTCTTTTATTTAAGAAAGGCTGCAAAGAAAAGCCAGGGAACTATAGAGTCTAAAGGTCAGTGGTTGGCAAGTTATTGGAAGCGATTTTGAGAGAGACAGGATTTACACGCATTTAGAGAGGCAAGGATAGTCAGGATTTAGTTTTGCATGGAAAATCATGTCTCACTATCTTGGTTGAGTTTTTTTGAGGATGTGACCAAGATGATAGATGGAGGCAGAGCAGTTGATGTTGTTTATGTAGACTTTAAAGGCCTTTGACAAGGTTTCACATGTTAGACCGCTTAATAAAGTTAGATCACATGGGATCCAGAGAGAGCTAGCCAATGGAATACAAAATTTGCTTGGAGAGGAGACAGAGGGTGGTGATAGATGGCTGTTTTCCAAACTGGAGGCCTGTGACCACTGTTCTGCAGGGATCAGTGCTGGTTCCACTGTTATTTGTCATTTATATAATGAATTTGGTTGTTAATATAGGAAGCATGGTTAGTAAGCTTGCGGATGACTCAAATTGGTGGTACAGTAGACAGTAAAGGTTATTTAAGAGCACCACTGGATCTAAACCAGCTGGTCCAATGGGCTGAGTGGCAGATGGAGTTTAATTTAGAGAAATGTGAGGTGCTGCATCTTGGTAAGGCAAACCAGGTCACGACTTATACACTTAATGGTAGGGCACTAGGGAGTGTCGTCAAACAGAGACCTAAGGGTTCACTACATCGTTCACTGAAAGCTGCATCGCAGGTAGACACAGCATGGCTAGGAAGGCATTTAACACACTTGCTTTTATTGCTCAGATCTTTGGGTATAAAAGTTGGAACGTCATGTTTCAGTTGTACAGGACATTAGTGAGGCCTCTTCTGGAATACTGTGTACAGCTACGGTCACCCTGCTAGAAGAATATTATTAAACTAGAGAGGGCACAAAAGATTTAAGGATGCTACTGTGACTAGAGGGTAAGAGTTCTAAGACGTTGGACAGGATGGGGCATTTTTCCCTGGAGTGTCAGAGACTAAGGGTGACCTTACAGATGCTTATAAAATCATGAGGTGCATGGATAAGGTGAATACCAAAATGTCATTTCCCTATGGTAGGGGAGTCTAAAATTCGAGGGCATAGGTTTAAAGGTGAGAGGAGAAAGATTTTTTTTAAAAAAGGTTCCTGAGGGGCAACCTTTCTTCTCTACCCCCCACCCAGAGGGTGATGCGTGGATGGAATGAACTGCCAGAGGAAGTGGTAGGTGCAGGTACAATTACAACATTTAAGAGACACTTTGATATGTACATGAATAGGAAGGGCTGGTTTAGAGGGATATAGGCTAAACGCAGGCAAATGGGACTAGTTTAATTTGGGAAACCTGGTCGGCATGGACAAGTTGAGCCGAAGGGTCTCTATTTCTGTGCCGTATGGCTGTAATCAGGATATCTACTTCAACACAAAAACAGGCTAAACAAAATACCATTTACACTCCATTGCAAAGGAAAACCATAAGAAGTGAGGCAATCCAGCTCAACGGACCCCAGAGTTTAAACAGGTGGGAAAACACAACAGCGCTTCAGAGGCTGCAGAGGATGTTACCAAGCACGGTAACGAAACGTCTGCGGAACAATGAACCAGCTCGGCGAGCCAACCAACCTCAACACCCACAACCCGAGCTACAAATCTACTCCAAAGCCTTAGAAACAAAATGTCACTATTTCGATCATACAATGCAGTTTGCTTAAAAACATTTTAATCCAACTTAAAAATGTTAACACTGAGACATGATCCAATTAAACGATGAAGCATTTGAGCAGCTACAGACTGATCCAATGTGTAGGGCATTTCACAAGAGTTGTTCCTGTAAGAGCTGACATGGACATGATGGATCAAATGGCCTCCTCTGCGCTTTAAATATTCTGACAAGTTTGATCAATATCAGGGTTAGAGAGAGTGGGAAACTGTAGTTTTTTGTTTTTTTTTAAATGTTTTAAATCCCTCAATTTAGCAATTCAAACAAGAATCCACATCAACAATCAATTGACCAGCAGCAAAAGACCACAAGTGTTCAGTTGATGATTAGTATGGTTTTCTTCTCCCCGAGCAGGCAACAAAATAGTTGGATCTCATTTTAAGATGAGAGCAGCCACAATCTGGTTAAGATCAACTTCAAATACAATGACCAACACCTCAGGTTAACAGCAGCAAATACTGCTCCATGCTTCCAACTTTACAACTGTTATTTATGCACAACAATTCCATTTTACCTGGCACCTCCAACTCATCTGCTGCATCACCTCAGCCAAATGTTGCATTTTATATTCAAGGCCATTAAAGTGATTGGGCAGCTATTTAGGCTACAGCATCAGATCTGCACTAGAGTAATCTCTATCACACTATAATCTGTGCTTTCCCATGGCTCTGTTTATTTATTCGATCCTCTGGATTGTTTTAATAACCCTTTCAAACAGCACGTCCCAGAGTACAATATAATGGTATGTGAAAGGGTTCCTCCCTTCACGTGACTTCTTGTATCTCCGAACCCCACCCAATCCACCTGCCTCCAGCAGAAAGAAACAAACAATCGCTCTCTATTTGATCAAAACCCCTTATGATTTTTAGCCTCAAGTCTTTCCTGGTCTGTCTCTGCTCCAAGTGGGGCAGTGTACCTTTAAGAGGTATGCTCATGATATCATCACTGTAGCATAGCAGGTGACCCAACAGTATAAAGATCTTATACTCCATCATACTTTAGATCACTTGAACCATGACACTGTACTGGTATTGTGTTCCATTAGGTTACTGTGAACTCAGGCACTTGCGAACATCACAATCCACACAGTTACACATGTAAGTTGTAATAAAATGTCTGTTGGATTCTTCAATACAGAACTATCCACACACACTTGCATTTTTTTGATTGACACTGAAGTGCTATTATATGCAACTGAATAACCTAATAAAAACCAAAAGAACCACGGATGCTGTAAATCAGGAACAGAAACAAAGTTGCTGGAAAAGCTCAGCAGGTCTGGCAGCATCTGGAAGGAAAAAACAGTTAACGTTTCGGGTCCGGTGAGCCTTCCTCAGAACTGATGGTGGCTGGGAAAAATGTCTGTTTAATAACTTTCCCACCAAAGACACAGATTTCCACCCTTCCCCCCCCCACCCCATTTCTTTCCCTTTAATTAATCACCCGTGTAGCCAAATATTTACACCCAGAGCCCAATACGGGCAATGTAAACCATCAAAAGCAAAAGGGGGGTAGTTGGGAAAGAGGGAGGGGCTACAAAATGTTAGAGGGGGGTTGGGGGAAAGAGATAAAGCACTGTATCCCCCATGGTACCCACCTCTCTCTAAAAGAGATGGAGACCATTGATAGACACTGGGTGCCCCCTCTCCAAGGGTACGTGGACTCGAATGTAACTGTGGAAGAGGGGTAGGTAGTCAGCCAGAGATGACCCCCTCCACAGCCAGTTGCCTGTAGCTGTTTATAGCCAGCCTGGCCAGGCCCAGGAGCAGGCCCAGTTTGTTTTTATTTGACAGGAAGGTTATGTAACAATTGCACTTCTGTCCTCCATCAATAAAACCAAAAACCTCGAAATCCAGAAAAGACAAATGGCCTTTTTTGATCTGCCCTGTCACCTTCAAAAAAAAAAAAAAAATTGGTTCTGAATCCCTTTAAAATTGAACTACATGTTATTTCATATTATCCCCATATTCCATTTACAAAAACATGCCTTCGTCTAATCAGAATCCTGTTGTTGTACAAGTTCCCCAGACATCACAGCTAAACAAACTCAATTGGCCAATTCACTTACCATCATAATGCAGTGTGCTCCTCTGGGTCAGGAGAACAAAGGACACAAACCCAACCAGGATAAATCCAAAGAAGAATAATTCTGGGATATACAAGAGGAACACACTTAGATGCAAAGGTTACTGCCACCGCAAATTGGTCAGTATTGTCATCTAGAACATTGCAAGTCCCAGCTTGCCAATAAATTCTGAAAAAGAACCTTTTTGTAGATTTGCGGCTTGGCCGACTTGATGTATTTCTGAACCAGAGACACAACAAACCTGACAGGTTTTACACTGGTCACTACATGTTCTCTCACACACCACCCCCAACCCCAAACCACGCTCACCTCCTCCAGCATGCTCTCCCCCTTCCACATTTCCCTCGTTTTCGTCCCCAACGCACTCCCCATGATTCCCCCATCCTCCTCCAACCCCCTTTCCAAATCTCCCTCCCACCTCCTCCTCCTCCAACCCCCGCTAGGGCAGAAGAATGTTCTAGATTCCACTAAAATCTGCGAGTTCGAGATCATTCTTGGCAAATCTGCTCTCCCAGAGGAATCTCTTATCCAGAACTCAATGCTGTCACTAGGGGTACGTTACTGTCAGTAAAATAAACTAGACATGAACGGCACTGTCCACATTTTTGTACCAACTGGAGAAAACTTTTATTTTTACTGACTTAACTAATAACTTTGCGTATCCATACAGCAGAAACACTGAAGATGGCTAGTTTCTGCTCCAAGGATGAATATTGTTAAAGAAATGGAGTGCACTCGGATGAAAACTCACCTGTCTTTAGGTAACGATGGCCAAAGAAGCAAATAAATAATCCAACGAGCCCGACAGAAACAAGAAATATTCTCGTTGAAGTTCGCTCTAGAGACAAAAAGAATCCTGTTGGAGAATGGATAACTGCAGAGATTCCCACTCTCCAAAAATATCACATCAAGTATAAAAGCTGGGTACAGCAGTAACAATGCAGTGCCCAACATTAACATGGTAACCACCAACAGCAGCCACATATCAGGATATATCTAGGCACCAGCCAATTACAAACCTGGATGTGACCAACTGCAGTGCCCACAGCTCAGCTACACTGTTCCACTGAAGTGGAGGAACCTCACCTCCCCTCCCTCCTTTAACAATATAAATCCCATCACATTCCTACTGTGCTTTGATTCTAAAGAGTCATACAAGACTGGAAACATTCACGGTTTTTCTCTCTCTCTACAGATACTGCTGAGTTTCTCCAGCATCTGCCATTATTTTCCCCCAATGGGGTTGAGCCCATTTCATGGTGAGTCTCTTCCAAATGTATCTCCATACCTGGTCACACCAACACTGTTGACCCATGTTCCATTTCCTGCCCTGTAAAAACTGGAGCTCAGCCAAAACATCACCATTAACCACAAAGCATAGGAGCAGAAGTAGGCCATTCAGCCCATCAGGTCTGCTCTGCCATTCAATGAGACCATAACTGATCTGAACCCTCCACTCTACTTTCCTGCCTCCCCCCACCAATAAACCTAGATTCCTTTACCCGATCAAAAATTGTTTCAACCTCGAATATTTATTGGTTAAATTCAACGTCCATTCAGATAATAAATCAGCCTTCCTGTGTTTGCTATCAAAATGAATAGCCTCCCACATTATGCCTCACCTGCTTTGTGTTTGCCTATAACAGGGGAGTGTCCCAGTGCAGACAATGCAGGACACGGGACAATCCTATAAAATCCAGGGTGGTTGGTCACTTTAGTCTCTAGGATCAATATTGGGATCAACAAATATAATGGGCCAGTCAGGCAGAGAGACAGTCACAATTCTTCAACGTTGCTTCATCATTCAGACACAGGCACAAGCTAATGGTACTAAAGTGAGGCACAGGTCTTTGTCCACTGGAACCTTGTTTCCCGATCATGACTGTGGCCTGACAGTGGCACTGACACCTTCCCCATAACTGGGTGGCACAGTGGCGAGCACAGCTGCCTCACAGTGCCAGGGACCCAGGTTCGATTCCACCCTGAGGCGACTGTGCGTGCAGTCTACACATTCTCCCTGTGTGTGGGGGTTTCCATTGGGTGCTCCAGTTTCCTCCCACCTGTCCAGAGAGGTGAGAGAGTTAGGTGCATTAGTCATGGGAAATGCAGGGTTACAGGGATAGGCTAGGGGGATGCTGTATGGAGGGTTGCTGTGGATTTGTTGGGCTGAATGGCCTGTTCCCACCCTGTGGGGCTTTTATAAAACAAACTGCAGTAAAGGAGGGGTGAAGTAGAGAAAACATGAAATTGGAAACTGATGCTGTTGTTTTGATGATCAATGCCTCCATTGAGGGTACATAGAATCAGATTTGTAGTACAGGGTCAAAAGGCTGAATGGTCTCATCTTCTGCAAATTAGCCAGATGGCCAATGACTGTAGAGCATTGATGCTAGGAGAACCTCAACCAGCAAAGGATCATGGAACTTTACTCTCCACACACAAGGCTCAAGAAATTAGGACACAAGACAAAAAAAGTTAATATTGGCACAAAATTAAATTTTCAAAATTAAAAATCAGGCAAAACTAACTCCCAGCACAACCAATGCAGGAGTGGACTGGAAAATGGCAGTAGAGGGTGGTGGTTTGGGAGTTAGTTGTGTGAATATTGGCTGCTGCATTTCCTACAGTATAGCACCTTATTAGTTTTACATCCCTAGGTCTTAAAAGGCCAATATCAAGTCTTATGGCACTGAAACAGATCGTTTGGTCCAACCAGTCCAGGCTGAATATAATCCCAAACTAAACTACCCCCACTTGCCTGCTCCTGGCCCATATCCCTCCAAATCTTTCCTACTCACATACTTAGCCAAGTATCTTTTGAATCTTGTAACTGTGCCCACATCCACCACTTCCTCAGGAAGTTCATTGCACACGCAAATCACCATGTAAAAATAATTTGCCCCTCATGTCTTTTCTTAAAATAAGAATGAAGGGCTTTCTCCACCAACCCAATATTAAGAAGGGACAGTGGGGAGATAAAGGGACAAGGTCCCTTTTTGACCACTGACAAGATGAACAATCAAGACTTACTCAGAGTGTAACAATTATCCAGCTTCTCTGTGAAACTACAGCCGTATGTATGAGCTGGGGTATAAGCTGCTGACGTGTTCATCTTGGGATCCTTCACAATAACATTATATATCACCCCTTGGCCAGGAATGGATGATACTGTTACACTGGTCTTATCTTGTGCACTCAGACTGAAAAGCTGAGAAACAGAAAATAAAATAGGTCATGGTCATGTGAAAATAGGTCATGGCACACTGCAACCACAGGGCACTCAATAACCACAACGAAAGCTCACTTCTTATCAGGATGTGAACATTCGCCAACACAACTAATTGAGCTGTTAACTGTTAAGAATTCTGGCTCAATTTTTTTTTATAAAAAAACCAAACAATCGTGTTTTATTTTGTCTTAATTTATTATACTGCAAGTCACATCATTTGTTCTAAACACTTTTAAAAAAAAGTTATCCATAGAATGCAGCCATTGCTAGCCAGGCCAACTTTTATTGCCCAGAGAGCAGTTGAGTCTGGACCATAATCACCACGGGACTGGAGTTACATGTACATCAGACTTGTTGAGGATGGCTAGTCCAAAGGGAAGTCAGGAGAAACGTCATTTGCTCCCAGTGACAGGGTAATAGCAGATCACTGGACTCCAGGCACCCAGACTGTTGCATTGGGTTCACTGGTTCAAATCCCACTATGGTATCTAAATGAAAACTGAAGTTGATTACCAAACCTGAGATTTAAAACAAAACTAGTTTCAGTAATGTAATGGGATGGGATTAAATGAAGTCAGCACGGGTTTAATGTAAGGGAGATTAGGTATGCACAATCATCTGGAGTTTTGAGAATGTAAATAGTGGAATAGATAAAGGGAGAACCAGTAGATGTAGTCTATTTGGATTTCAAGGCAGCTATTGATAAAAAGGTTCCACATGAGGGGTTAGTGGGAAAAATTAAAGCACTTGGAACAGGGATTAATACACCAACAGCAATCAAGAATTGTTTGATAGGCAGACATGACATATAGACAGGAGGAAAGGTGATGAATTGGTGACTGTCTTGTTACAGAGGAGTGGTTCCCCTGTTGTGTGACTTTGCTGATGAAGAGCCCACGTTGAGAGCACAATACGATGTCTATCAGTTTTTCCTACCAGAGACTCACCTGACTGAAAAGGTCCTTTTGCCTCCCTTCAGAAGATGGGAGAAGTAAAGCAAGTGACCCACCCCAGCGAGTAGCAGGCAGTTACTAGCAGAGCACTGCAGCAATCAGTGCTTGGGTTCCAACTGTACATTATTCGTGGAAATGACCTGGATTAGGGAACCACCTTCAATCTTCCCAAATTTGCTAATGACAACACCATGTGGAATTACGAGCCGTGTGGAGGATACAAAGGAAGCCCAGTGCGATTTAGACAAGTTGAGTGGGTGGACAAACATGGCACATGCAGCACACCATGGCTAAATGTGACAGTATAAAGAGTAGTATAGACACAGCAATATATTGGAAAGTGAGGGTGTACAAAAAGGACCGAGGTGCCCTTGTACACCAGTTGGAGAAAGTAAATGCAGCAAGGAAGGAGGACGGCAAATTTTATGCCAGCCTTCATTGCAAGGCGATTGGAGTTCAGAAGCTGGGATATCTTAGGGGAGTAACAGAGGGTCTTGGGAGACTGCAGCTTGAAGTGATAGGTGCAGTCCTGGCCGCCCATACTAAATGAGGATATACTTGCCCTACAGGGAGTGCAGCAAAAGAGCTCAGCAAGCTGATACCGGGGATGGCAGGACTGCCCTTTAGGAGAGATTGGCCTGTATTCACTGGACTTTAGATGGATGAAAGGGGATCCGTTCAAAAATAAGTGTGTAAAATTATAAAACAGGGCTGGACAGACCATATGACCAAAGGGTTTTCCCCCCTTGACTGGGGAGTCTAGAACCAGGGGCCACTGTCTCTATATAGCAGGTAGGCCATTTAGGACAGAGATGAGGAAATATTCCTTCACTCAGAGGGTGGCTAACCTGTTACCACAGACAGCTGTGGCGGGTGGGTCATAGAGTATATTCAAGAAAGAGTTTCATAAATTTATTAGATATGGAAGTTAAAGGGGGTATGGAGTGAAATTGAGAATGATATTGAGACAGAAGATCAGGCATGATCATACTGAATGGCAGTACAGGCCTGAAGGGCCAAGTGGCCTACTCCTGCTCCTAGTTTCTACGTTTCTACAGTGACTAGTTGGATTGTCATACAATTAATGTAAAAAACCCATCTGGATCACAAATGTCCTTTAGGAAATGAAATGAAATCTACTGCTCTTCTCTGGTCTAGCCTACATGTGACTCCAGACCCACAGCAATATAGTTAACTCTGAAAATACCTCCCAAAATGGCACAAAAAGCCAATCAGTACAAGGGCAGTAAGAAGTGGACAATAAGTACTGGCCTGTCTAGCAATATCTGCAAGTGACAAAAAGAAGAAAGAAAAATTAGCTTCACTTTGCAACATTAATATGATCCAAATTGTGGTTACTCCAAAAGGTAGCTGGGCAATCTAATTAGAACACCAGGTAAACTTGGCAAGTTTGCAATACTTATTTATAACCAGAATGAGAGAACTAAATATGTTAATAATTGGCACATCTAGAAGCATATTTCAATAATCCATATAAATAAAGAAAATGTGCATTAAAATCTCAAAAATCTTCAGCCTATGAGTGACAAAACATCTTTCACCACTCGAGAGAGAATAAGGGTGGGAGATACTTATACCTTGACTCCATTCGCTTCCACTTGCTCTACTTTTGCCATCTTCTGAAGGGAGGCAAAGAGGACCTTTTCAGTCAGGTCAGTCTCTGGTAGGAAAAACTGATAGACATCGTATTGTAGTCTCAACGTGGGCTCTTCATCAGCAAAGTCACACAGTGGGGGAACCACTCCTCTGTAACAAGACAGTCACCAATTCATCACCTTTCCTCCTGTCTATAAACAAACTATCGTCATCATTTTGTCCCATCAAAAAAAGGAACCACGGATACTGTATTATCAGAAACAAAATCAGAAATTGCTGGAAAAGCTCAGGTCTTCATCCGTGAAGAGAAATCAGCGTTAACATTTCAGGTCCAGTGACCCTTCCTCAGAACGGGGAATGGAGAGAAATTGAGAATATGACATTGAGACAGAGGATTAACCATGATCATATTGGGGGTAGCGTGGTGGCTCAGTGGTTAGCACTGCTGCCTCACAGTGCCAGGAACCCCGGTTCAATTCCACCCTCTGGTGACTGTCTGTGTGGAGTTTGCACATTCTTGTGTCTGCGTGGGTTTCCTCCGGGTGCTCCGGTTTCCTCCCACAGTCCAAAAATGTGCAGGCTCGGTGGATTGGCCATGCTAAATTGTCCCATAGTGTTCAGGGATGTGTAGCTTCGGTGGGTTATAGGGATGGGTCTGGGTGGGATGCTCTGAGGGTCGGTGTGGACTTGTTGGGCTGAAGGGCCTGTTTCCACACTGTAGGGATTCAATAAACTGGGAGCACCAATCTGAACCTTGTAAAGAAGGTTTCATTCCCATCAACTCAAGTCACTGATCTTTGCAGCAAATTCAACCCAAACTTGCAGCTATAGACCGTTGCAGGTTTGTACTGAGGCGACATTACATGCACCGGGGTTCGGAGAATCATTGTTACTTTAAAAATTCAGAAATTAGCCACACTATTGTCACTCAGTCATTGATCTTTTCAAATAATTTGGAAGTAATGAACTGGCTGCGCAAAGAGGGAAATCAATAGCAATTGATGAGAAGATGACAGGAGCAGAAGTGGGCCCTTCAGCCCATCGAGTCTGCTCTGCCATTCAATGAGGCCGTGGCTGATTGAATAATCCTCAACGCCACTTTCCTGCCTTTTCCCCATATCGCGCGATTCCCTTCTGATTGACAAATCTGTCAATTTCACCCTTGAATATACTTAATGACCCAGCCTTGACAGCCCTCTGCAGTAAAAAAAATTCCACAGATTCACCATCAAGAAATTCTTTCCCCATTTTAAACAAGTGACCTCTTATTCGGAGTTGTCATCTTCTGGTCCTGGACCCTCAAGGGGAAACAACCTCTCCACATCTACCGTGTAAGCCTGTGCTTCTATACGTTTGCAATAAGCATTGGGAAGATCTAATCTAGAGTCCTGTGTACTGATGAGCCCCTTGTAGAAGGAAGGATGAAATTACATTGGAAACAGTTCAGAGAAGGTTCACTGGATTAATTCCAGAGATGAAAGGCTCAATTTATCAGAGATTCAGCAGTTTAGAAAGTTAAGAGGAGATTTAACCAGGTAAATAAAAATGCTAAAGGGGATTGACAAAGAATATTTCCTTACGAGGCAACTAGATGGAGGGGTCATAGCTTTACAATAAAGGGGTAGCAGATTTAACGAGAGGAAAACTTACTTCTCTCAAAAGGGTCATGGATCTGTGAAACACACTCCCCCAGACTATGCAGGATGCTGGGACATCAAGTTTGAGGAGGCAATAGACACATTCTTCATTAGTAATGGGTTAAAGGGTCAGGGGAACAGTCAGGAAAGTGGAGTTGAGGCTGACAGAAGACCGGCTATAATCATTAAATGGCCGAGCAGGCTCGAGGGGCTGAATGGCCTACTCCTCGTTTTTATGTTCTTATAAAAGGTCTCTTCTCATTCTTCTAAACTTCAAATTCATTCTTCAACTCCAAATGGCTCAACCTCTCTTTACAAGAAATCCCATCCATTCCCGGTAACAGCCTAGTGAACCTCCAGTGCCAATATATTTTTTTTTTTTTGAAAAAAAGCCCAAAAACCATTCATTCATTGTATTCCAGCTGTGGTCTGACTAGTGTCTTTTATAGTTATAAAAAAACGTCTCTACTTTTATATTCCATTCCCATTGAAATAAAGGCCAACATTCCATTTGCCTTCACTATTACTCACTGGACTTGGATGCGAGCTTTTTATCATTCAGGAGAACTCCCAAATCGCTTGGTCCCTAATTTCCTGTAATCTTTCTCCATTTAAACTAAGATTTAACTCTGAAGATCTAGCTTTTATTGTCAACAGTGCTTATCCTTGGCTAGATTCCATGGTGAAAGTTATGTGGCAATGTGCCTCATGTTGAGAAATTCTGTAGTCAAATGAGAGTGACTATGTTAAATGATGAGTAATTCAAATCTGGGATTCAAACCCGGGTCCCCAGAACATTACCTGGGTCGCTGGATTAATAGTCCAGTGATAATACCACTAGGTCATTGCCCCACACCCCCCATTCCAAGATGTTGTGTCTTTCTGACGATACGAAGGTGGGTCACGTTGTGGACAGTGTGGAGGGCTGTTCTAGGTTACAAAGGGACATTGATAGAATGCAGAGCTGGGCTGAGAAGTGGTAGATGGAGTTTGACCCTGAAAAGTGTGAGGGGATTCATTTTGGAAGGACAAATTTGAAAGCAGAATACAGGGTTAACAGAAAGATTCTTGGCAGTGTGGAGGAGCAGAGGGATCTTGAGGTTCATGTTCACAGTTCCCCGAAAGCTGCCACCCAGGTGGATAGAGTTGTTAAGAAGGTGTATGGTGTATTAGCTTTCATTAAGACGGATTGAGTTCAAGAGCTGTGAAGTTATGCTCCAGCTATACAAAAGCCTGGCTCAGCCACATCTGGAGTATTGTGACCAGTTCTGATCACCTCATTATAGGAAAGATGTGGAAGCGTTAGGAAAGGTGCAGAGGAGATTTACCAGGATGTTGCCTGGAATGGAGGGAAAGGTCTTACGAGGAAAGGTTGAGAGCGCTAGGGCTTTTCTCTTTAGAAAAATGAAGGATGAGAAGGGACTTGATAGAGGAGTACAAAATGATCAGAGGTATAGAGAGTAGACAGCCAGAGACTTTTTCCTAGGGTGGAGGTAGCTTTTACAAGGGGAAATATTTTTAAAGTGAAAGGAGGTAGATATCGGGGAGATGTCAGAGGTAGGTTCTTTACTCAGTGGTCGGGGCGTGGAATGCATTGCCAGAGAGGGTAGTGGAGTCGGCCTCATTAGGGGCATTTAAGCGGCTATTAGATAGGCATATGGATGATAGTGTAAGGTAGGGGTGGAGGTTAGATAGACCTTAGGTTTAGGGTAAGAGCTTGGCACAACATCATGGGCCGAAGGGCCTGTACTGTGCTGTACTGTTCTATGTTCTATTCTCCACAATAGTTTTACGTAGAACAGACAAGTCAAAAATGGTGGCCATTGGTCTGTCTATAACTCTCAAATGGAACAATGTTCTGTTCAGGACAGTGTCTGCCCTGCAGGACCATTACTGTACAGTCAGGGTTACAAATAGTACTTTCCAGTAACTGGACACCAAAAAGAGAGATTCTGTCTACAAAACAGTAGCTTCTGGCCAGTGCAATGCCAAATCAGAGTTTACATCTCAATGATTGATTGATCTTCATTCAATCTCTTTGCTGTTTGCAAGAGGCAGAATATAGATTGCATTCAGCCAGCCCATATTTACAAAACCCAAAACAAAATAATTAGCAAAACATAATAGCACTTGCTGAACAATCCCATCTGTGCCAATAGTTACACTGACAACCAACTTGAGAAACCAAAAATCGGTCAAGCTTGCTAGAAGTCTTTAAACCTTTGAAAAAAATGTTTGTTTGGTTTTCACCAGCCTTATTTTTTCATGAACAGTTTTCTTTACAATTCCAATCAGACAAGGATGTCAGCCACAGCTGAGTGGGCAACACTGTGGTTGTGGTTCAAGTTCAAGTCCCATTGCACAGTCAGGATACAAAAAGGAAAACCGTTTCGCAATGCAGTACTAAAGTAGTGCTGCACCATTAGAAGTGCCACCCTATGGATATTTTGAACAGCATCAAGAAATGGGACTAGATAAACAGTAATATTCATCCTTCAAAATTCAAATTAACTCATCATTATTCCCGTGTGTTGTGGAATCTTGTTGTGCTCACATTGGCTGCTTGTGACTGACTGAAATGCTTTCCATAGAATTGTGTAAGACATTATATTGTTCCAAGTCTCTGCTGCAGAAAAGCAATGTTGCCCCTAAATCTGAGAAGGTAAGCAAAACGCAAAAGAGAGAACATTGGAGTCATTTTGTCTTTAAGCATTACCTTGCATATCCAACATTGGCTGGTGCAAAACTTATTGTGGCTTCGTACAGGTTGTACTGCAAGTGTACACTGGCATCAACCATCGAGTCAGATGCCACACGACATCCACCTGGTATAGGATCTGCCAAAGGGATTTGGGAGAAAATTAGCACAGGAAACGATTGCCTGATACTTCTATTCCAAAAAACACACGAGTGGTCACAACACAAGGCAGAAAACTAGCATCAAGAAATGGGACTAGATAAACAGTTGAAAGCGCTACTGCCTCACAGTTACAGGGACCCAAGTTCGATTCCAGCCATTGGGCAAACATCTGTGTACCGTTTGCACATTCTCCGTGTCTGCGTGGGTTTCCTCCCACGGTCCAAAGATCTGCAGGTTAGGGTGGACTGGCCACTGTAAATGCAGGATTATGGGGATAGGGTGGGATGCTCTTCAAAGGGCTGATGCAGACATGATGGGCTGAATGGCCTCACTACATTGTGGGGATTCTATGGCTTTGATCTGGGATCTGTATTAGCTCAATATTACATACAGCTCGGTGTTACCAATTCAATTGTCATGTAGTTATTAGTCACTGAGAAAGGCTTTAAGAGCCTTGGTTACTGTTCAGGTTTACAGTGCAGGTCTTAAATCCACAACTTTGCCTCCAAGGTCTTGGAAAGGGTTATAAACTTTTAAAATCTGCTGACTCTTGCATGCACTCCACACACAGCGCAAGCCAAGAACTTCAGTTTTTATGACAAAAGTACAGAACTTTCAGATTCTAAAAGTGACCAAAATCCTAGTATGAAGCAAATCTCAATGATGCAATGAAAATCCTCCATATGAGAAGGTACTAAATGAGTAACTGCAAGTCACAAGCAAGTGCCTATGGTCTAAACTTAATTTGCAACTCACTCCAAAGTACGCTTCTGTTCCTTGCTTTCTCTAGAACTCAGAAGTTTAAGGGGTGATCTGATCAAAGTCTTCAAGATATTAGCAAGAATAGACAGGGTAAACAAAGACAAACTGTTTCCACTGATTGGGGATTCTAGAAGTCCGGGCATAGTCTGAGAATGAGGGCCAGACTGTTCAGGAAGTGGTTCGACACAAAATGATGGGAGGGGTTTGGAACTCTTCCACCAATGGCAGTGGTTGCTGGATCAGTTGTTAGATTTTAAATCTGAGTGAGATACATTTTTGTTAAGCAAAGGTATTAAGGGATATGGGCCAAAGGCAGGTATATGAGGTTAGGCCACGGGTCAGTCTTGATCTTACTGAATCACAGGATTCATCTCAGGATGGAGGGGCTGAATGGCCTACTCCTGTTCCTATGTTTGACTAGATTCCCCTTAAAAAAATATTGCCACACCCCACACCATTTAAGGGTATCTCGTGGTGAGGTCATTGGATTTGAAATCCAGAAGCCTGCACCAACGTTCTGGGGACATGGGTTCAAACCCCACCATGACAGGTGGTGAAATCTCAATTCAATAGAGATCTGCTACTATCAGGAATAGCAAGAACTGCAGATGCTGAGTCAGAGGTAACACAGCGTGGAACGGGACAAACACAGCAGGCCAGGCAGCAGAGGAGCAGGAAAGTTGACGTTTCGGGTCAGGACCCCTCCCCAGAAACAGAGCATTGGAGGCTCCACTGATGATATCACCTAGCATGGTGAAGAAATGTTTGAACGAGAACAATCCAGTTCGGCGAGCAAGTCAACAATCTCACCTCTGAAACCTTCCTATTCGTGTACCCATCCAGATGCCTCTTAAATGTTGTAACTGTACCAGCCTCCACCACTTCCTCTGGCAGCTCATTCCATACACACACCACCCTTTCTGAAAAAGTTGCCCCTCAGGTCCCTTTCAAATCTTTCCCCTCTCACCTTAAACCTACACCCTCTAGTTTTGGATTCCTCTACCCTGGGGAAAGAGACCTTGGCTATTCACCCTATCCATGCCTCGTGATTTTATAAACCTCTACAAAAAGGTCACCCTCAGCCTCCTACAGCCATTACAAGTGACTGAAGCAGAGTGATGCTAGCAGACAGGAGTCATTGATAACTTTTTTGTTAAAAAGTGAGCAGGCAGGTTAAACACATGAAGATCCACATTAAAACCGTTGCTTCAAGCAGCTACCTGTTTGGACCAGTCACTGACCACAATCATTAAAAAGCAAACCTACTGTGGATAATGCTGCTCTCCTGGTGAGCTAAACCATCTACTGATTGTAACACATCTAAAGTCCTGATCATCTGAATATGTTGAATTTTAACAAGTCTTATCCTCAAATTCACAGCTTTTCACCTTTACCATTCCTTTAATATTCTTTTACTAGCTCCACAACTTGCCCTCAGGAATAAGTGTCCTTGAAAGCCTGGGACATTGTTCAGTCTCCTCCATCCACTGATGGCTAACACTCCAGTGTTAGATTTGCAAAGTTCTCCAGGAAACATGATGCTTTAGCCTAACCCTTTGGCATCACCTGCAGCTCAACCACCATTATTTACAGGATTACACTGCAGGAGCATTTCGGGACATTTTCTTCTGCATTAACATGCATTTCTCTAGCACCTATTAGTGTTGAATGTGATCGGGGAAATGTTATACAGATTTTCTATAAAGTTATGGTTCTCAAAGAGGTGCTGTTGGAGACTGCATTAAGCTCCACCTTCCCTTGCGTTGTATTACAGCCTTTAGGTATAAAGGGTCTACTTTGAAATCTCAGTGGGGTCAGATGGGTTATCCTTGACAACTAATAATCCAGTTAGTTTAGGTACGATTTCCCAAATGCACCTAGCATTTAGTGCTGTCATGAAAAAAAGCCACACCTGTATTGTTATCCTAAGTGCTGCTTCTTCTTAAGACTCACTAGTGATACTCCTTCAAATAGCCCTTAGATCCAGTAAGAAAGGAGACTGGAGTGTTTTGTGGCACAGTGGTAGTGGTACTGCCTCTGAGCCAGGAGACCAGAGTTCAAATCCCATGTTTTCCAGAGTTGTATTACAACCTGAACAGGTTGATTTGAAATATCAAGAAAAAAAAAAGGGGACCGGTAGCAACACTAACCCAACCATTTGCTTATAGGGATAAGCACAACGTACTGAGAATGCTGAAAATCTGAAATAATAAAAAACAGAAAATGCTCATTAGCTTCAAGTGGGTCACTTTCACAGTATACACAGCAAAAGTAACCATGACAATCACCACAAATTTGAAACATCTTAAGTTCAACAGCCAGCCCTACAAAGACCAGAATCAAATCTCACATACAAGAATTTCACTAATTCTGAGAATTATTTTAAAGTGAGCCATTTCTAAGCAAAAAGTCTGGATATCAAACAATTATTCCAAATTCCCATTTCAGATCTTTAGATACAGGCACTACCTGGTGAAATATTCAAGCAAATAAAGAACAATACAAGCAGAGTTTCACAAAATGTAAAAGTCAAATTACTGTGTTAGAATTAAGGCTCATTTGGCAATCACATCAAAAATTGCAGCATTACTGAAAAGAGGACAGGTTAGCATAAACAACACAATTGAAATCGACGTGCAAATGTCAAATCGCTCAATACAAGAATGAGACAGTTCAACCTCTTGCTTTGTACGGGAGAATGACAGACATTGCAGAGACGTTTTCTGTCAGTGTTTGTAGATGCCATATTGTTGCATTCTCCTCTGGCTTTAGGCTTAGCAGCAAGGCAGGGTCTTGACCAGTTGTTGAGGTTTCTCCTGCAGGAATCTGAAAATGTGGACATTGAAGTTTTAAAAGCAATGAAAGACACACAAAACTTGCAACTTTCATTCAGAGTACTGCAGGGTGGATGTCGATGGGATGTTTCCCTGAGCTGGGGACTCGAACTAGGGGCCATGCTCTCAGATTAAGAGGCAGGCTATTTAGGATTGAGGCGAGGAGGAATTTCTTTGTTCAGTGAATAAGACACTTGTAAAACCTCTGGAGAAAAATCAGTCAACATTTTGGGTCAAGAGACCCTTCCTCATGTTCCGAAGAAGGGTCATTCAACCAGAAATGTTAACTCTGATTTCTCTCCACAGATGCTGCCAGACCTGCTGAGCTTTTCCAGCAACTTCTGTTTCAGATTTATAGCATCTGCAGTTCTTTGGACTTTTACTTGTAAAACCTCAGCTGGAATGTTGTGTGCAGTTATGGGTCCACATTATAGGAAGGATGGGAATAGATTGGAAAGAGAATGCGGGAGCGAATTACAAGAACGGTTCCAGGAATATGAGACTTTGGGGACGAGGATAAATTGACAAAATTCAGACTGTTCTACTCTGAGAAAAGGCAACTCAATTCTGAAATCATGGGCTGGTTGGATACGGTAGATAGGGATGAGGTGATGCCACTCATTAAAAAAAAAGGAACAAGAGGAACTTAGATTTACAGTGATGTGCAAACAAAGTACAAGTTTGGGGGGAAAAAAAAACCAGTCACACAGCGATTAGTTAGGACTTGGAATACACAGCTTGGAAATGTGGAGGAGGCAGGTTTCATTGAAGCATTCAAGAGGGGTCATTAGATGATTATATGGACAGAAATACTGTGCAAGGGAATGGGGAGAAAGCAGGAGATTACCTGGTGCCAATGGTGCTCATTTGAAGAGCTGGTTCCGACATAATGGGCCGAAAGACGACCTCCTGCATCAGGACAGTTGGTAAATCTTTGGAATTCTCCAACCTAAGTGGCTGCGGAAGTTGAGTCATTGAGTAGGCTCAAGGCAGAAGCTGATAGGTTTCTGGAGACTAATGACGCAGGGCAGTAAAGTGATGCTGGGAGATGGGCAGCTGTGATCTAACTGAAAGATGGGGCAGGCTCAGTGGCCTACTCCTGCTAAAACAAAGATTGTAACTTGAAAATGCTATTTAAAAAAGGCTTCAATGGATTTTGATTTAGTCAGTCTTTTACAGTTAATAAGCAAGTTAAGTAACTATTCCATCTACTGAGGTGACAACTGCTGTAAGTCTCATCCTTTTCAGTCTGTGATTAGATAGGGAATTTCTGAACTCTAGGATGTTTAGAAGCAGCTTCCCAACAACGTAACACAAGAGCACAACTCTGGATGCCAGATATCTGAAATAGAACAAGAAAATACTGGTGAAACTCAGCAACACCATAGAGAGAGAAACAGAGTTAATACAATCATAAACACTGCTTTTCTCTAAACAGAAACAACCTGCTGAGTTTCTCCAGTATTTTCTGTAACTTTATGCTTCGTTTCTAATTCAAATTCATTCTTATTTAGGATATAGGCATCACAGGCAAGGTTAGCACTTGTTGACCATCGAGCCTAGTGATTTCATAGGTCACTTCAGGAGGGCACTTACGAATCAACTATGTTGCTATGGGGTTGGAGTCACAAAGTCACAGATGCATATACAGAACTCTACCTCCATCCTAACTCCCCAAGTACCAGTCTCCTATTACTTCAGTCTTTGGCTTTACATTGGCCGACATATGCTAGACATTCACAGATTCTGGGAGGGAAGGGAATCCAAAACACATCCAAGCACAAATCCACCTTTCAGCTCATGCCACATTGGTGATTTATTTCCTTAAACGATGCCCAGGGAGTTAAAAACAAAATGCAAAATTTGTTTCTGGAAAACATTTCCACCTCAGTTTTGCAAGGTCTTACAAGTTAAGTCTTGAATCAAATTAGCATAACTTGACTAGACCAAACAAACATTGTTAAAGAGGACTTTACAGATTTTAAAATAGAAGGACCAAGACAGACCAAAACTGTGACCAGGAAGGAGCCTAAAGTAGAGGTGCACAAAACGTTTTTGCCTTAGCTGCATAACTAAAAATGTTTTGCAAAAACAAAAGAACCGATTCTTAATTTGCAACTACAAACGTGCCTGCACTTCAGAATGTATTGGCTGGAAAGCTGTTGTACTGTCTGAGATCACGAGAAGCACCAGAAAAAGTCAAGTCTGATGTTTTATTCACATTTGCTGAAAGTCTGGGTTTCACTATAGAAGAGAAAGTTACAGCCAGGGCTTGCATCCTGGAGTGGCGTGACTCAACATCAGAAAACGGAAATCCAGAAACACAACCAAAGGTTCAAGATTTACACAAACTTCAAAACAAGGGCAGGCAGCATATTCCAACGCACCATTTATTCACTGCCTCTATTCACAAGTCTGTTGGCCAGAGTTTACGGAGAGCGCATAGGAAATTTGGAAACAAGGATAATTTTTTTCTTTAAAAATGTGGTAGCAGTAGATCAGGAACCTCAGTCGAAGCCAGACAATGGGGTAAACAGCGACTGGGATTGGAGAGTTAGGATAGACCACTGAACGCACACACACACCACAGTGAGAAAATACACAGGAAACAAATGTTTGGGTGTGGGGTGGGAAGAAAAAAAACTTGAGACGTCAGTCTAAAGTATATGACAAGTTGGAATGCAACCAAGAATTGAATTTTCAATACACATTTACATACCTTATAAGAGGAAAGAAGTGTATTAACATATTTCGTGTGCACTTGAATGATGACGAATGTCACATCCTCAGGAATGTTTGACAAAAAGACAGCAAACGTCTTGTTCTCAAATAATGCTATTTCTTGAAATCTTCCAAGTTTGAATTCAATTCGATCTGCACGAGGAGAAGAATTACAATGCAGATATATCCATTTCAACATGAACTGCAGACAGACAAACTCACATCACAGGCATTGGCTCAAATCTCTCGCTATTTCAGGACTTGCTTTATATCCTTTCAAAAGGAGATTGTAATTAGACAGGAAACACAGCTCTAACAACAAACAAGGAGGTAATTAAATCAGAGATAGTAGGAACTGCAGATGCTGGAGAATCTGAGATAACAAGGTGCAGAGCTGGATGAACAAAGCAGGCCAAGCAGCATCAGAAAAGCTGACGTTTCGGGCCTAGACCCTTCTTCAGAAATGGGGGAGGGGAAGGGGGCTCTGAAATAAATAGGGAGAGAGTGGGAGGCGGATAGAAGATGGATAGAGGAGAAGATAGGTGGAGAGGAAACAGACAGGTCAAAGAGGCGGGGATGGAGCCAGTAAAGGTGGGGAGTTAGGGAGGGGGTAGGTCAGTCCAGGGAGGACGGACAGGTCAAGGGAGCGGGATGAGGTTAGTAGGTAGGAGATGGGGGTGGGGCTTGAGGAGACAGGAGGGGATAGGTGGGAGGAAGAACAGGTTAGGGAGGCAGGGATGAGCTGGGCTGGTTTTGGGATGTGGTAGGGGGAGGGGAGATTTTGAAACTTGTGAAATCCACATTGATACCATTGGGCTGCAGGGTTCCCAAGCGGAATACGAGTTGCTGTTCTTGCAACCTTCGGGTGGCATCGTTGTGGCACTGCAGGAGGCCCAGGATGGACGTCGTCTGAGGAATGGGAGGGGGAGATGAAATGGTTCGCGACTGGGAGGTGTAGTTATTTATTGCGAACTGAGCGTAGGTGTTCTGCAAAGCGGTCCCCAAGCCTCCGCTTGGCTTCCCCGATGTAGAGGAGGCCACACCGGGTACAGTGGATGCAGTATACCACATTGGCAGATGTGCAGGTGAACATCTGCTTGATGTGGAAAGTCTTCTTGGGGCCTGGGATGGGGGTGAGGGGGGAGGTATGGGGGCAGGTGTAGCACTTCCTGCGGTTGCAGGGAAAAGTGCCGGGTGTGGTGGAGCTGGAGGGGAGTGTGGAGCCGACAAGGGAGTCACGGAGAGAGTGGTCCCTCCGGAAAGCAGATAAGGGTGGGGAGGGAAAGATGTCTTTGGTGGTGGGGTCGGATTGCAGATGGCGGAAGTGTCGGAGGATGATGCGTTGGATCCGGAGGTTGGTGGGGTGGTACGTGAGGACGAGGGGGATTTTTTTGGTTCTTATTGCGTGGATGGGGTGTGAGGGATGAGTTGTGGGAGACACGGTTGAGGGCGTTCTCGACCACGGGGGGGGGGGGAAGCGGGTGGAGGAGTTACGGTCCTTGAAAAACGAGGACAACTGAGATGTACGGGAGTGGAATGCCTCATCCTGGGAGCAGATGCGGCAGAGGTGAAGGAATTGGGAATAGGGGATGGCATTTTTGCAGGAAGGTGGGTGGGAGGAAGAGTATTCTAGGTAGCTGTGGGAGTCGGTGGGCTTGAAATGTATATCGGTTTCTAGGTGGTTGCCCGAGATGGAGACAGAGAGGTCCAGGAAGGTGAGAGAGGTATTAGAGATGGTCCAGGTGAACTTAAGGTTGGGGTGGAAGGTGTTGGTGAAGTGTATGAACTGTTCGAGCTCCTCGTGGGAGCACGAGGCGGCGCCGATACAGTCATCAATGTAACGGAGGAAGAGGTGGGGTTTAGGGCCAGTGTAGGTACGGAAGAGGGATTGTTCCACGTAACCTACAAAGAGGCAGACATAGCTTGGGCCCATGCGGGTACCCATGGCCACCCCCTTGGTCTGTAGGAGGTAATTAACTATGTTATCTGGTCTGATGGTGTTTATTGAGGAGGAAAACTGAGAACGCCTGCAACAAAAATATCACAGAACATATAAACGGCAAAAGAGACCACTAAAATCTCTCAAAAACATGATAGTAATATGTAGGGTATGCGGGGTAATTTGATCTTAGTGTAGGATAATAGGTCAGCACAACATCGTGGGCCGAAGGGCCTGTGCTATGCTGTACTGTTCCATGTTCTTAACACCGGTAATAATGTAGTATTGCAGACTCAGCCACAACCCTGAACTTCAACCAATCACCATTTTAAGTATTGAGATTATTTGAAATTTGGTATTCTTGCATTTCCCTAACGAACAAGGGGCAGAAAGCCTCAACAACACTCCTCCCTTCATCAAGATACAAGTTGTTAAATTTAGGAGATGGTCAACACTTATTGCAACCACATCAAAATTAGATGATGAGATCATCACGTTGCAGTTGGGAGCAAGGATTGACAGCCACATTTCTTACTTTTACAACAGGGGTTTGCACTGAATGCACTTTGGAGATGTCCCAATTGTTAAAGGCACTAATAAATCTAAAAAGCTTTATTCTGAGAATGCCTCAATTGCTCGTGAAATCTACCACCACCTCCGACCTGAAATAGATTCCTTTATGCTCTGAAAACCCTCTGCTGGAATAATGTGAAAGTGCGTAATTAAATGTCTTTTGTAGGGGTAGATGCCAACTTTATTGCACATATTCCTGGAAGGTTTATCACACGACCTTAAAGCCTTGCCCAGCTCTATTTAATCCTGCCTGCCCAGAGCTAAACCAAATGCTTGTGGATGTGGATGGTTCCAAGCTAGACAAACACTCCTTCCTCTGCCGTGATCTGCCCAACATGCAGCACGCACAGGGAGGCTTTTTTTTGCTGGGGTGCCAGTTACTGGAATCTGCCAAGTGTAAGACAAATACAAACGGTGGTTGGGAGAACACGCTTCGTTGTTGCCCCAGGGCAAACGTGGTTTATTATAACAAACAGCCAGGGCTGCTCCCAGTATACCTAGCTGCAAAACAAAAAAAGTGATTCAGTCTTTATCAAGGTGGGCAATCCTGAACTAGGTTCAATAAAGCATCTGGTCCTTCACTGCCTTCTAGTTGTAATACCATTGAGTCAGTTTCGAAAGCAAAATGATCTCCTCCATTCTACCAAAACCAGCTTTGCCCATTATTGTACAGCATACACGTTTAACGAGTCTGTTTTGTTTTTCACTCCAGTGAAATGAGTTGTAAATGAGTCGTGGGCACTAGTTGTACAAGTCATTAATGCCAGCCAACACCAGAATGTGAACACAGCCTCTCGTGTGTTTCCCAGCTCGAACTGCTCCACTGCCACTGGCCAAATGCGGGGGTGGTGGGGGGGCGGGGGGAATGTTCCTCTCCACATCTCTCTCAACCTTAATTCCAACCTTAAAAGACACTTAAAATATCCTTCGCACCAAGTTGGGTCAGTTGCCCTCCTATTTCCCACATCACATAACATTGTTGCATTGCATATACATTATAGGTGCTATATAAATAAAAAAAGTTATTGCTGTAAAACTTTGAGGCAGTTACAAGTGAAATCCTCAAGCCAGGTCTTCGATTTGAATTTGGCATTTAAAACAAGTGCCAGTCTGTCTAATACCCCCAGCCAGTGAAACGAGCTCACACTATGACAGTCTACAATTCCTGGTTCTACCCCACAAAATACTGCAAGGCATGCCTTGCCATTTATCCATCAAATAAAACAAATATTTAAAGCAACTTTGCTAAGGGCACAGCAAAATCAAATTAGCAAATTAGATCAGGAGCCTTGTAATTTTCCAAGAGACACAACGGTTCTATTGAAAGCTAACCCAAATGTCATTAAGAGAGTGGATCTGAAACCGAGATGACTGATGACCTCCATTAACCCCTCACTGTCAGAAGCAAGGAAAGTCTCCCTTAGTGTTTTGGTCAAAAGTTTACCTTCCATCAGCACCCTCAAGAAAAAAAATTCAAGCAGCAATAAACTGCAATTACTCAAGAAACACAAGCAACAGTAAACCTGCAGGCCTGTTGAACTTTGTCATTCATTCATGGCTGACCTTGGCTTAAAATATCACTTTCCCACCTCTTCCTTGATATTAAGACCCCAAATATCAGTCTGTCATAGCCTTATATTCAAGGGTGGAGATTCCACAATCTTCTTGAAGACGAATTTCAAAGGTTCATCGCACTTTGAGTGAAGAAAATTCTTTGTCACTTCACCTGAAAAGGTGGCAGATATCACTGGAAACGCACAGCAGGTTAGACAATATCTATCGCTGTGTACAGAGAGATACAAAGTGAATGTTTCAGGTCTGGCACCATCTGTGTACACAGACACCATAGGACATGGGAGCAGAAATTCAGCCAGTTTGCTCTGCTATTCAATCCTGGCTGATAAGTTCCTCAACCCCATTCTCCTGCTTTCTCCCCGTAACCCTTGATCCCCTCAATAATCAAGAACCTATCTCTGTCTTAAATGTACTCAATGACCTGGCCTCCACAGCCTTCTGTGGCAGTGAATTCCATAGATTCACCACTCTCTGGCTGAAGAAGTTCCTCCTTTATCTCCGTTCTAAAAGGGTCTTCCTTTTACTCTAAGGCTGTGCCCTCGGGTCCTAGTCTCTCCTACCAATGGAAGCATCTTCCCAACATCCATTTTGTCCAGGCCATTCAGTATTCTGTAAGTTTCAATTAGATCCCCCCCCTCATCTTTCTAAACGCCAATGAGTATAGTCCCAGAGTCTTCAAATATTCCTAATATGTTAAGCTTCTCATTCCTGGGACCATTCTTGTGAACCTCCTCTGAACTCGCTCCAGGGCAAGTACATTATTCCTGAGACACCACAATCCAATATCACTTTTCGCATCTGAAGAGATGTCATGGATGTCTGGCAGCATCTGTGAAAAACAAAAGAAAAAATAAATCAGAGTTAACGTTTCGGGTCCGTTGACCCCTCCTCAGAACCGATCTGAAGTGTTAACTCTGATTTTCTTTTTTTCTTCACAGATGCGGCCAGACCTGAGCTTTTCCAGCAATTTCTGCTTTTGTTCCGCAGCTCTTTCAGTTTTTGTTTTGAAGAGATGTCATTTTGGATCCAGAACATTAAAACTCTGTCTCTACACAAGCTGCCGGAC